TGAACTCGCTGGATAAGCCTTTGAGTAGTAGAAAGCAAACGAGGACCATATACTATATCCCCATTGTTCAGTACTGATACAACCAGTGGCTCACAAAAACGATCCGTGTTTGTTCTGTAAGGAAATTCCGAATTTTATATAAAGTTTTTAACCTCTAAAAGCAACTCCTTACAAGACCCAAAACATGTTTCTCAAAACGCAGCTTATTGTCGAACACTATACCCAAGTTCCTGGCTTCACTCACATGTTCAATGTCCGACCCCAACACTCGAAGCGTAGGATTACAACTAGCGAGTCTTTCAGTCTGTTGTTTAGTGCCGATTATCATAAACTTAGATTTTGAAGGATTCAAGACCAACGCATTATCAGTCGACCATGCAGCTATGACATCCAGATCTTCATTCACTTTATGCAAGGCATCGTTTATTTTATCAGGGGTTGTTGATATGTAAATAATAAATAAGAGAGGCCCCAGTATGGAACCTTGAGGAACTCCACGATCAATCACCCTAGGTTGAGATGTTAGTACCGATCCATTTTTCTTACGCAATTTAACGACTGATACCGGTCACTGAGATATCTGTCAAAGAACCGCAATGCATGAGGATCAAAACCGCTAATTTAGACAACAGTAACGGTATATTTATACTCTCAAACGCGCGAGAAAAATCAAGAAGCGTCAATATAGTAGCCCGACGCTCATCCATGACGGTAAGTATGTTGCCGGTTACATCAAGGAGCGACGTCACAGTGCCACGGCCCTTTCGAAAACCTGACTGATAATCCTATCAGAACCATCCGGTAATATATTATAAGATTCGACAAAGCGCGTAAGCTGATTATAAACTGCCCTTTCTAGAATTTTTGAAAGAAATGGCAATATACTGATTGGCCTCAGATCTTTCAGTTCATCTGGTGGTTCGACTTTAGGCAATGGTGTCATCAATGCCATTTTCCACTGCGAAGGAACAACGCCAGACAGGATTGCTTTATTTATAATATTAGTAATAATAGACAAGGTCCGTGAAAGCGTGAGCAATACCATGTCTCTATTGATTCCATTGCATCCCATTGCATTTGATTTTATGGATAAGATATACTTTGAGACTTCTTCTTCAGAAACACAATTTAATTTGAACAAAGGAGTCGCCTCATTAAATCGATGAAATTCAAAAAAAGTCATTTGGGAAAGAGACTTTTTCATTAACAGGAATTTTCAAAAAATGGCTATTAATTGCATCAGCATCTCCAAAGCAAATAAGGAAGACCGTCACTCTTAATAGTATCGACTAATACATTCCCCTTCAGATTCTTCCAGAAGCGCTTACTATTTTGACATTAGAATTTATTAAATGATTTAAATAGTCTTGTTTTTCATTATTGATACTTTTATTACCAAGTTTTTCAAATCTATGTAATACTGTTTATCTACATCTAACTTAGACTTACGGTATCTGTCATGGGCCTTATCCCGCAAACTAATCATAAACTTAATCATATCGGTTATCCAGGGCAAATTTTGATTTGGTTTGACTCTTGTAGATACTATTGGAGCATGCTTATCCATAAGAGACAGCATGAGTGTATTTAATCTGTGAACCATACTATCAACCGTAGGCTGCTCAGAAATAGAATCCCAATCGAGCAAGTCAAGATCGTCATTAAATTGCTCGAGATTAATACGCTTGAGGGGTCTGTAAGTAACAAAACGCGGAGACACTTTGGCCTTTTTCAACAACAGTGAGACACTGACCATTGCGTGACCAAAAGGGGGTGAGATATTAGAAACAGTGACATCGCGAATGCTGAAATTTGTGCACACCACATCTAGTAAAGTATCAGAACTTACAAAAAGGTGTGTAGGTTCATTTACCACTTGCTGCAAATCCAAACTTCCCAGGAAATCATTTATTTTAGAGACATTACAATTAGAACTATCCATCATGTTGATGTTAAAGTCGCCCATGACGACAATATCACATTGAAAACTTGAGATTGATTCTGTTAGAGCGTCAATAAAGGTGTCAACATTGAGCCAAGGAGGTCTATATGCCGTTCCTATAACAACCTCGAGTCCATTTACCTGAGTGCGTAACCACATTTGCTCAATACCCACATCAGGTTGTCTCAAAAAATGTACACGCAAGTCCCGCTTGTAATAAAAAGCAACGCCACCACCCCTTCCTTTACGCATACACTTTGGCCAGGGCAAATTACGCAGGCGGAAGCCCGGTACGGCAGGCGCACGCGCCTCCTGACCTGCTTGTAACCAAGTCTCGTTAATGGCAACACTATCTGCATTAAAATGATTCATTGCTATAAGGAAGTTATCATGATCTGTATTTAGTGATCCTGCATTATAAAGCGCTAATTTTAGAAACTTAGTTTTATTTAACATTTTTATAAATTATAATATATATATATATATATATATATATATATATATATATATATATATATATATATATTCATCGATGATAATAAAAAATACATTCAATAATTAATTACCTTACACCAAGTTAAAAGTGAGTATAAATTAAAATGCAGTATAGCATGAATAATATATAAGAGTATTTCAATGAAAGACAAATTCATGATTTGTAAAATATTCTAGTAAATAAAAAAAACCAAATAGCATATAATCAAGTACCGAATATCCATATAAGTTGCATGTAAATGTAACTTAGAATACTCTTTGCTTTGCACCACCGTGACACTCACCAATATAAAAATAAATTCACAATAAGAAAAACATTACACATCGCAAAAAAATTATAATGAATGATAGAAAAGTATATAATTTCATTACAGATAATATTAAAGTAAATATAATTAAATATTCATAAGTTAATAATTTAAATTGCAAAGAAATAAATCCAAGTAATAGACTTTCCCTTATTAAAAACCATGTTGGTTAGGTAGGATCGAGTATTTGAAATTTTCGTGTACATTTCATTAGGCGCCTTTGCATGCATTTTCAAAATCTTTCGATAGGACAGGAGGAAGAGCAATTGGTAATTGTTAAGAGGACTTTCTTTATCTCCTTTCTTATGAATGGATTTTACAACGCTTATTTTAAGCCTATCAGAGAAAATGCCTTGTTCAAATGATAAGTTTATTATGTGTGACAGGTTTAGAGAAAACATATGCTTAGATTCCTTTCGTATATTAAATATATATATCTCTGTGCTGTGACCATATGTTGCACTTATGTTGTTATAACCAATAAACTTGTTTTATTTCATTTGAATATTATTGTTGACTAACCGCGGTATTACCTGCGGTTTATTAGGGATATTTTCCCGCATTAAAACGTAACCTATGTGTTGATCTAGGGTATCAGCTAATTCCGTACCAATTTTTATTAAAATCGTTCCAGCCGTTTAGATATGAAGAAGTAACAAACATACATACTCACACACTTACAAACTTTCCCCTTTATAATATTAGTGTCGTACAATATAAATACAATACAATAATTTTAATAATAGGTTTTAGCAGCACCCTCTCCCTGTCCATTTCTTGTAGCGTGACCCGTAAAATATGGTAGCCTTGGTTAATAACATTCATTTTTTTCACAATCTAGATTACCCTCTCGTACCCAATGTGGCATAGGAGTGGACCAGAAACCGATCCCTGTGGAACACTATACATTATTGGTCGTGCCACCATGGTTACTTCACGATCAATATAGAGCTCATCTTGGTCTTCGAGGTGGTGAAAATCACTAAGTAAGTAGCTCCTTCATTATTGATATTTTTTTCGTGAATATGTAATTGCAATGAACGATTGTACTGTGTTTATTTTGGTCGTCCAATATCGGCTCTATGAATTATTCGATCTATGGTTCAAATATTCGCATTAGTGATTCTGCCGATTTTCTTTCAGCACAGCCGCAAAATTGATGTTATAATATATGACATGTTTCTGATGAAATAATGTATCACACAAAGCCCCTTCACAGTGTTATAGATAAAATATCTATTACACTGTGAAAGGCAGGGCATGAAGCATTTAAAATTAAAGAAAATTTTACTAGAAAAAAATCCACACGGACCGAGTAGCAGACGGGACTCGAACCCGCGCTCTCCGTTATCCAGATGGATGCACTGACCATTATGCTACCGCGACCCTAATTGTCCGTGTCGTATTTTCTCTAGTATTTCTTAAGCTGCAAAGCAGCGTCATCTATTCGCATAGTAGGTAGCCCACAATGTTAAATGAAAACCTTTACAAGTATGAAATATTTGAATGAAGAAATAGCAATTATACTTATTTTTATATTTTTAAAGCATTTAATGCTAGAAGTTTAATAATAATAATAATAAATGTTTATTTCAGGCACAATAACCCATATTAAAAATTACAATTACAAAAATTCAAAATCATCAAAATCAAATTCTTATTAAATTCAAACAATAATAATAAAAATTATTAATAAAAATAAATAAAATATAATAATTACCGAACTTAGATAGTAATAATAATAAACAATCAAAACTTAATCATATAGTTTTACACATAAATTAAATGAAATAAATGAATTAATATACATTATTAATTTTGCATTGCAATTTGCAACATTCGCGATATGCAGATAACAGTCAGTGTGTATTATATGGACTTTACCAAGTTGATATAAAATATGTTAGTGTTGAGTATATTGATGAAAAATCATTCAATCTAAAGATAAAAATATCTGATCATACTAATAACGTGTATTGACACTGTAACGTTATGGCGTTCTCTTAGTGTGATTGGTGTGGTTAAAATTTTTTTTAAAGTGAAGAGTTTCTTCCACCAGTTCATCTACGTATTCAAAAGCAATATAAATAGGTGGTTAGATAATAAATTTATGTTGTAGTTTTTGAAGGAATGCTAGATAAATATTAGGTATTTTGCCCCTGTCTATTGAATGGCAAATAGCATTTGAGTGACATGAACAAAATAACGTAATAACGGCGTAACTAGTCTAAGCTAATTCCTTGTTTGTTAATAAGGGGGTTAAGTTTAAAAGAGAAAAACATGTAAAGTTTGAGACGGTATATTTTGAAGCGAAAAAGTGTCAAATATCAACATTAAAAAGTATAAAAATAGAATACAATAGGTTTTATGATTAGCCAGTTACAATAATATAAGAGTTATTTTATGCTTTCAATTTGAATATATTTATTTTTATCTTTATTTTTATTATACTTTATGCATCATCTTTAGTGACGTATTTCTTACATAAGTATACATGCTTGTACTTAAATTGCACATTAAAAATAATACAAAAGAGCACATATTTAATTTTTCAGTATTAACGCCATTAAATAGAAGGAAGTTTTGCTTTATGCATTTATACATTTTGAATTGTTTTACGAAACAGTGGATAACTATTCATTTTTAGTTGTTAAAGTTTATTTTTCTGTAGTTTTGCAATATCTCGAACACAATCGGATACAAATAGTCGTTCATATTCTTACCGATAACAAAATCAGCGTGATTGCATTGCTCACGTTTTATCTCATAGTAATAACTATTGGGCAGTTTATCCCTTAAGATCTTCACGTCTGTAACATCTGCTAGTGGGTCATTAAGACCCACTAAGAGAGCAACCCGTGTAGTGATATTTGACAAAGGATATTCTGCTGGCACTAAGGAACCATATACTTTCAAATTGTCTAGCCCATAGTCAAACTGGGCAAATCTCTTCTTCAAACTGATCTGTGCACAGTGATCAAAATTTTTCCTTGACGTCGTAGTTGGGAAATGCTCAAACATAATTGGGAAAAACTCTGGCTCCAATTCATCGGGGTCCGGCCCGACAATGGGAAATAACACTCTTTGTCCACACAACTTATAGCCTATTTCTTTTTGTGTACAAACGTTTCTGGCAGCGTAAGTAGGAAGTGTACCATTTTTAAAAATTTCTTCTTGGCCTGATGCTTTAAGTACAATATTTATTGACGGCCACAATGGTATTAATGCAGACAAGGGAAATCTTACATTGTGCATAAAAGCTACAGGGCCCAATGCGATTATAGCCTTTATCTTAGAATTGTATTCAGTAAATAGAGATGTGAGCACTAAACTCATTTGGTTACCCTGAGAATGTCCAATAATTGTGAGTTGAGACTGACCTGTATTATTCAAAACAAAATCTATAATTGCTGGTAAATCTGTCAGACCCATTTCGTGGAAGCTGTAATTCCAAAACTCTTTATCCTTGTCAGGGTTTAAAGTTTCGTGCCGTCTACTGTACTTGTTGCCTCTGACGTTCAAAGCCCACACATCACAGCCTTTTTTGGCTAAAGTAATAGCTAGTGACAATTCGCCTCTAATTATGAAGGTATCCGCTGAATCTGTCATCCCATGCGCCAGTATAATAGGATTGCTTTCGTTCCCAACGATGTGAAATAATTTCAGAATGTAACCATCTTTAGTTGTAACATCAAACTCTTCACATTTTTGCCCATATTTGACCGCGAGTTGTGTGAAATTCAATTTAGCATCTTCATAATTATTATCACATATTACACATCGCAGCGCACTCCAAAACAACAGAAATACTACGCGATACATTGTATATAATGTTCAAACTGGAGACGTTACCATCGTTTGCTTTTTAACAGATACCATTAGTTTATTCAATTGTGCCAAAACAAATATTAATACAAACACCATATGTTTCCGGTATAAAAAATATGACGCGCATGTTTCGGTCCATTAAAAATATCACAAAATAAGTATGAATTTTTTACTCATTAGCAATCTATAAGGGTATTTCTCATTTTCAATAAAAGTATCTGTGACCAAGATTTTTTTCTTTAATAACTTACGGCACGTGGTCTTATTATATTTATCAAGGTAGTGCAACCACATCTGGTGAAGACTATATAAAAATATATTCATTTTAATTAACACGTTATTTTAAATATAAGAAAATAACTTGAAAATGTCTTTTCCATGGCTGTGACTGAAGCAAATTTACAGATATAATATTTTTTCTCAGATTGTGGCATGAAATTTCTACATTTTATGGATATTATCCTAAACTCTATTATGTACTGACCAATATGAGCTTAAAACTTAATATCTAATTGATAAAAAAAAGAACAATAAACCTAATTATAATTTGTGACTCGAATTTTAGTCACTTCCATGGACGAAGGTCACGATAGCTTTTTACTTAGAAAATAACGTGCGGGTAACCGAATTTATGTGAGCATTGACAAGCTGTCACCTGTCATAACCATAGTGAGATGTCAATGTCTTACCGGTTGCAAACGTTTGTCGTAAAAAAACGATTAGTTTACTTACTTAAAACTCGTCAAGCATACGGGGTCACTACTGTGGCTGGTTTGCCAAATAAGTATTATTGTTTACTTTACATTATGTTTTGCTGTTTTGTAGGTTTGATGGTCAAATTACGATTGCCGAAATAGTTTGCAAAGATGAGATTTTTTTGGCTACTTTTCCATTATTAACCCTCAAAATGTCCTTTCCATGGATGTCACTCCCATGGATTACGTGGATATTTTTTCTCCATGGAAGTGAACTTTAGGTCCAGGGATGTGAACTTTAACTTGGATCATTATCATTTTAAAAATACAAATCATTTTTTCTGAAAATAATTGCTGTAAATATGCGAATGAGATCCAGTGAGTCCATTTTGGTGCATCCAAACAGCAAGTCAGTCTTCATACTGGTGTATATTACTACAGATGACCAGATACGCAAAACATGAATTGTTGTTCATTTTGTAGATAATGACCTAATTAATTGATATTAACAGCTATTTAGTAAAGTAAAGCTGATCAAAATATTTTTTTATATTTTCATCATCAGAAGTAAAAAATACCCATAATCTATAAACGCAATGGTTGAATATTTTTAGACCTTTCTCCAGTAAGAGAGTTAAGGCTTGCATAATCCACAAATATGGGTGAACACAATAAAAATTTGGCATTATGAGTATAGGTAAATGGTCATGACTAAAGAAAACACAATAAAAACAGCCCAATGCAGTAAAGGTTCCGCATGTGCAGTCACGTTCTTTTAGTTTGGGGTCCACCTCAGGCGTCTTCCTCACCGGGTCGGTGCGGGCTCGTAACGATTTCGTTTCTGTACCGAATCTGTACAGATTCTCTAGCAAGTGCATGTAATTAAATGAGAGCTTGACCACTGAGTCTTCTCGGTATACATTATTTACCGAACTCAGTACCGAGTTCTACAAAACACAGCTCTCAGTACCGAGTTCTACAAAACCATTCGGGGACGGAACAGGCGGGACTCGAACACGCACTTTTCGCTCTAATAATAATAATGGCCATGTCGAATTTCCTCTAGTATTTATTAGGCTGCAAGGCAGCGCCATCTCTTCGCATTATAGGTAACTCACAATTTTCTTTAAATTAAAACCGTAGCAAACAAAACGATACGAAACCTTACCGATTTCAAGCCGGTCAAGAAGTGGTTCTTGGTCCGATGAGAAAGATCCGGTGAGAAAGGAGCCTAAGGTTGAATATCTGTCAGCAAAATAACATTGAATTTTTTGACCAAAAATGATAACGTAATATGCAGTTTTTTTATGTCAGTAGATACCTTGTTATGACAACTGCTCAGTTTACGCGGCAACCTTACGGACGCGAGGAGCGTACGGAAATTCTTGATGTATCAACTTTATATTAAATTTCCCCTTGTTCTTTCTTATATTGTTCATTGGTACTTTTCGTTTATAAAAACATAATTCATGTAAATATATGAATTTGATAAGGATTTCGGAAAAGATGGTAAATTGATTACATTTTCTCAGATTGTCAATATGATTTCCTTGTGTACTGACACTGACATATTGTTTATAATGAAAAAAAATAAATAAAAACTAATTGCTTTAAGAGGTTATTATTAAGAAATGTCAATAAACTCGAAAAGATTTTGACTTGACGTTTTGAAGACATATTTATGTGGAATTTCGGCCTAATTGCAATTTTAATTTAAACCTTTCAATGAAATGGATTCCTAATTATGTCATCTGACTATGCATAGTGCTAGCTTTTCACATGACCATTTGTGTTATTAGTAAGTATTTGATATTCGTAAATTGTAAATTGTGACATCATTATTAACCGTTCGGTTTTAGTTGACCGTCGATGACTATCACCAAATGTGTCACAGACCAATCACAGACACATCAACTGGTACCGTCAACCAATGGGGTAGACAAAATGAGTCTGTCTAGGAGTCAGTGCTGTGAGGCGGGGAGGGTGGAAGCGGCCAACTCAAAGCGAACGCGTAATACATACTCGTCATGTTAGTTGAAAATTAAGAGTCCGTTTCCTTTACAAATAACGAATAGTCATGTTAAGTGCCCGCATGACGGGTGCCACGACCACGCCCGCACTCCCGGCGCGCATTGGGGGGACCTCGGTCCCCAGAATGCGTGCCGGGTGAACGGTGCAGGAGCATTGTCTGGTTTTAGCTATAGGTAGGGCCCTGCTCATTTTATCCGGCCCAACGGCTGGCTGAAATGAGCAGGAAGGAGTCCCATATACCTTCTCCTCACTCCCCCGGTGGTTGAAGGATGCGTTAGGCATTTCCCAGACACAAAAAAAATAAAAAGTGCCCGCATGAGGTTAATAACATATGAAAAATAGCGATTAACACTCAGTATTTTTATTTTTTTTATCTTCTTTGTTTGTTATTTCTTGTTAAAGTGGTTAAAGGAAAGCGCGTTGTGAAAATTTCATCATCATCATATTTAGCTGTAAGACATCCACTGCTGGACATCGGCTTCCTCTTGGGATTTCCAAACACAACGGTTGAGTGCTTTCCGCTTCCAGTGGAGTAAATTTTACAGTCTATACTTTTTTGAATCTATTTATGATATGATTCTTCAAACTTAAAACTAAATTTGTCAGTAGATTTTTTTGTTCTCATTCTACTTAATGCATGATAAAATTATGCTAGCGAATTCAGTTTTAGGTTTAGAGAATACTTCCAAAGCTAGGCCCATATTCTACACAAAAGAGTTTAGTTGCGAAGCCATGTTACGCTCTTCTCGACAGTTTATCAGTGAGCTGATTTATGGCATAGTCGAAGTATTAGTAGTAGGGGAACAACTTAGATCAAAGTTTACTCGGAATAGTTTGAATGCAGTCAAGTTAACTATTGATTCAATATAATATCAAAGACCCGAAAAGTTGAGTAAAGTGTTGCTTTGTTTGTTATGCAGCTGGAGACAATTGTTGATGACAATTGCCTAAAGCTTAAAATATTTATAAGAGTGTAAACTGTATCCTCTGGTGTGAAAAGCAAGTGCAAATGATTTATGGAAAAATATCATTACTAAACTTTTAAGTAAGTACTTATTAAATAAATGAGTTATTAAATTCAGAGGAAGAGAATGAAATAGAATAAAATGGATATGGTTTAAAAAGCTGTACTCAAAATAAATTAAAACAATAGATTGAGGGATATTTTTTTATAAACGTTTAGTTAGAGATAATGTTTTTAGAAACTAAATAAGTTTAAATTCCAATTCTGACATGTTTTTTGTGAAGTAATATAGCCCATTGTGTTCACTAAGAGGTAGGAAATAATTCAACACGGTCGCAATTAGATAACAACATATTATATAAAAGAGGTGTTAATTAAAAATCATTGTACTTTGCAGGCAACAAGAGGGCCAGTTTATCGTACAAAAGAAACTACATCAGCCGAAGCTATTTTGCGTTCTGCCGTGAAGAATTATCGTTACCTCAAGCGACTGTGTTATGTAAAACATCTCGAATGGGCACTACATAGATTAAGTATACAGATTTCGATACTGGAAATGACTGTTCACTCATTTTGTGTCCGTTAATAGATGTCCGATATAGTCTTATTTTTATAGGTAGCCGTTTATTGGCCTATGTCAACGAAATGTGGTTAGAAGACGATTGGCTTTTATAGAACGAAAGGTAACGATAACTTTAAACCAGAACCTAAGTCAGATTAAGTTCAAAGAGGTTTATCAGAATGAATTCCCCAATATTTGTTTTATCATTGATTGAGTGACAATTTGATCAAGCCACATCTAGAAGGATATCTTTCTTCATATCCGCCACCGCCAGCGTTCGTCCTGATTCCCTTTAAATTGAATTTGCAATATTTTCCGTGTCGACCTCCAGTCGTCAGCTTTAAAAATGGAATCAAAGTTCTCTTTCTGAGAATTCGACGCGATCCCGGGGGAGTCCCCTAGCTTTCTAACCGCGCCACAATATTGAGCATTCGCAGTTGAAGTTAATCGATTCGCGATTTCGGCTCAAATTCATATTGGTGGAACATTTAAAGTAAACATACATGCTATGTTACTTAAATATTTTGTTATATTATAAGAATTTAGTTTATAAATAAGTGCATAACTAAAAGTGGAATTAATTACATGATTATTTTGAGTTACAGCTTGGTACAGGTAAGATCAGATAGTCGTTTTCTATGCATAGTTCTAAAATATATTGTAGTTTCCTTAGTTTGAACTTGTATGTGATTCATTACAACGTTAGATAAAATGGAAATGTTTTTTTAAAATACCATTGAAATCGGTTAATATTTCTAATACAACTCAGGCTTC